TAAAAGATAATGCTTATTTTATTCTCTTTCAGAAATATTCAGAGAAAGTTAAGTACTATTTAAAGTATTTCGCTATTAAATTAAAAGGCGTTGTAATTTGAAATGGACCAAATAGAGCATTAATTATAAATTGACTTGCTAGTTTTCGATTTAAAAGATGCCTCAGAAGCTAAAAAATCATGTCATATTTGAGAAAGTATTTTAGGAAGAAGCTCTATAAATAGAACAGAAATAATGCATAATTTTAATAATACAATAAATTTTTATCTTAATTTTTGTAATCTTTAACCGAATCAAATCAAATTACCTTATTTTCTTTTTCTAATGTAATTAACGAAAACTTGTGAAAATATTAGTAAACCATTTTGAGCAAACTCTTCTGTGAAAAGTATAGCATTTAATTTCATTCAGAATGAAATGTTCGTTAAAAATGTATTCTTTTCATATACTTAAGACTGAAGTATTGTAGAAAAAGAAAATATATACATTTATGTGCATATTTACGATGTAATTACAAAATATTTACATCCGATCGTCTCAAAACCCATTGAACTCAATGGTAAATTACCCAATGTTTTGGTCACCAAAGAAGGGGTCGCCAGTGCTTCAAACCAGGGTATGGGGAAACCGGTTTAGGGCCACTCCATCTAACTTCCTACCTCCATGGTTCCTACGCTCTTTCCGTATAATCTTATGAAGTGTAAAATGATACCCCTTTAAATGGAGATAAGATGTTCTTATCTTAAATCATATCTTTTCTTATCTATCACAAAGTCTGTTCTCGGAGAAATTAACCTGGAAAAAATCATCAAACAACATATTATTGTAATACATGCTTTGACAAGCTGGGCATGCATCTTGGGAATTGTTATGTAAAATGTCATACACAGAACAATTATAGAGACTAACATTTAAAAAATTATGTTTATAAAGGTGTAAAGTTATATAAAATGTTAAAATATAAAAGTTTTATACATTAATTTGTCTGTAATGATTTTAAGTTACTGGCAAGAAATTCGTCAAAAAGGGTGCGAAACGTCTTGAGTTGCTGGTGTGTCGCGCGAGAAAGGCCCCGAATTCAAAGGATTAAAAGGTCATCTTAAACATATTCACGATGCTTTTCTGTATTTATGTATGTATATTGAAGTTAACATTACTTGTATATGAAGTTGCTTATTTCATTGATTTAACCTTTTCCCGGGGGCTGGGACATATGTGTCCCGTACTAAGGATACAGCAACTGGGGGCTCGGGACAGTTTGTCGTTGGTGGCAGGGGTAGGAATTCTAGCGCTTGAGACTTGATGACCGGGAGAGTGCCTTCCTTTGTGGGATTCCGCTAATGGATTTTGGGAAAATTGTCCGTGTTTTAAACTCACATGGCTTGTTTGCAAATTTGGTATCTTCCAGGAAATATTTTGTTGAGAGGAGAAAATAAAAGAACGTTTTGTTACTTCGATTCTAGCGCGTTTGCGTTTTCAGGTTTTTTCCTGTACAAATACGGCTTGGAGGTCAAATATCAAAGAAATTTTATTTTCAGAAGCTCGGCTGCTAAAATTATTCGGAAATTATTTTAAAACCTTGAATGAAACATTGCATAATTTTTTCAGTTATTTCTAATTAAATTCTTTTTAATTTGGTTTCAATTCGATTTTGAAACTATCTTCGTTTCATTCTTTTCATAAGTGTTTTATCACTTTATTCCAATTTTTAGTATAAGGCAGTGTAGTAATATAAATGTTTCAGGTAATGAAAATTAATTTTAATGTTATTTCTAAATGACATGCATTCCACGACTACCGCTTACTTGAGTGAAATTTTGGTTTGTTATGTTCTAAATGATAACTAGCGGCCGAGCGAATAATATTTCTTTAACTCTGATAATTTGACTTCGATTCAAATTCCGATGAACGGATTGACTGCATGAACGTTTCTTGTTCTCTCACATATGTAAAGGGTATATCAGCCAATTTCCTTTGAACGCCCTCCACGAAAGCCCCTTTTGCTTAGGTAGGTAACACTTTATTTAATTCGACAAATAAAAATAAAATTATTTTCGAAATAAGAAAGCTAAACTTATGAGCGTTTCATAACTATGTTTAGAAACCCTTCCTTTTATGAATCATTTTAATGACAAAATGAATTTTAATTGTGCGACAAATGAAATACGAATTTTTATTAAAGCAGTTATTATGGAACATTTTCTAATTCAAAATTTAAAAAAAATTTCAAAACTTATTAATTTATCTTTTGTTATATGATTTGCATCTATAATGTCATATCTGTATCAATTTGTTCAGAAATTAGATACGTTAGTTTAGGTTAATTGAATATGGGAAAGCACACAAAGGCTGCCTACCTAAAGGAAAGCATGCCTTCGTGGAGAACTTTTAGGAGAAATTGGCTCGTATTCACGTTTCACACGGGGGAAACAATGAAAACCAACCATGCGGCCAGCTCGATTGCCTGACGTCGAAGCTATGTCTAACTACCAGCATTCAACGGCTTTAACCTCTCAGTAGCTTGTAGTGTTCATAAAGTAATTAATTTTACGTGAGAATCGTGTTTTGGAGGGAATCGACAAGATATTGGAATACTAAGCATGTATACAGGAATTCAGATGTGTACTATATTTTAGTTCCCTGAATTTAATCATCAGTGCGAGCCTTCATTAGAATCTTCATTAATATTCATCCGATTCAGTTCGAATCTTCACTTCCCAGCTTCATTTCTTCCAAAGCAAAGCAACAGTAAATAGCTTGAGATCTGAAAATTTCGCATAACAGTTTGATACCTCAAAGGCGATTTTAGCATTCTGAAAATATAGGTCATAAAAAACTGAAGAAATATTTCGCCATTCGACAAAGATGTTTACATTTTGAAATTTCAATGCGTTCCTGTATATGCAATTTTGCATTCAAAGAAAAAAATGGAGTAGCAATATATAGTATCATCGAACAACTGTTCCCTTTCTATTCTATGGTAAAAGTAGTATCTTATATCTCTAAGTGATAAAACTAAATTTTTGAATACATTAAAACTCAACAAAGATTTTATTTTCTAAAGCTCCAGGGTCTGCATCTGCATTTCTTTCTTGAACCAAAAACTATGAAGCGATTAAATAAATTAGACATCTTATATCCCTGATGTAAAGGCAGATCAACTCTGGGACCACTATTTTCAATGCCACATGGGAAAAAAAAATTTAAAAAATTCTTGACTTATGCATTGTAAATTTTTCTTAGTGCTGGCGTTATTCAATAATAATTTAGTGCTGTACAAACGCAGTGAGCAAATTTTATTTCTCCAGGAATGAATATTACTAGAGGTATAAAAGTATTAACACTCATTTTGGAATCCGAAAATGCTTTTTAAATGGCACTTGTAATAAATAAACTCTATTTAATTTGCTCTTCAATATCAGAATAATAATACTATTAAAAATGAAAATGCATATATTGTTTGAAGGAAATGTTTGAATATATGAAATCACTGCATTTTCGATACGATGACAAATGAATATATTTAACACTGATTACTTCGATAGTTTTTTAGTACATAATATAGATGCAAGTTTAAAAAACTATCTTAATCGTAAAATGGAACACTTTCTAGAACAAAATTTCTAGTTATAGCATACATTTCGTTTGAAGGTTTTTTTTCTTGGGTTTGGTTTTGGTTTATTAGATTACGGCAAAGCACTCGAGGGCTATCTGCCTTAAGGGAGGGATGCCTTCGTGGAGGACTTTTTAAGGGAAATTCGTTCGTATACACGTTACACATGGGGAAAACCACGAAAATACCCCTGCAGCCAGCCCGTTCGCGGGATTCGAACCTCGGACCGAACTATAGTGTTCAGCGACGTTACCGCTCGGCCGCTGGTGGGCTTTTTTTTTCTTGCGAAAACTGTATTCATCTACCTGCAGTGTGAAAGCGATAAGAATGCATCCCGTATTCTAACGCCTTGAGCGTTGGAACTAGATTGAAAGGAAATCCTGAGCGTTTGCCGACAAAAAGAGCACTAATCAACCACTCGTTAAGGACTCGATTCGATAATTTCCCCCCCTTTCCATAACCGCTGAGCCAAGAGCCCCAAGTGAAGGTACACAACTGTTTTTCGAGCCCACGGGCAAAGGTTAAATTTAATGCAGATTTATGATATTAATGTAATTGGCAAATTTTAGATGCAGCTTAAAACATAAAATTGTAAATTTGGTCATGAATGCCTTTGTATATAAACTTGATCTTTGGTGTTGCTGTTATGGCGGTGCATTGAATAGATTTGTCTTTGAAAATTTTAAAGAGTACTCTGATCAAGACAGGAGTCAAAGCCATAGCGTATTAAAGAAATGTAGGATTGCTGAACCAAAATGATGTCTTGCATTGTCCTGCTGAAAAGTGGGGTGACAGAGACTATGACGATATAGTACAGTCAAAACCATCAAAATCTGTAATGGTGGCTGATCAAGAAACTGGATATGCAAATTAGATGGACGTGTAGTGCGCAGTAATACCTCATATCTTGATCCAGGTGTTGGGCTGGTATGATGATGAAGAATCGAAGTTTCCAACATTTGACTCTACTCACGGGTCATGTTGCAAGCAAACCTGGAATTTATCGGAAAAGATTACCTTACACCATTGATCAAGCAGTATATGCACATCATTGCAGAAACTGATTTCTTGAGTTATGTCATCAAGTGAAGTTGGAGCAATGGTTGCATTGGAAATGTTGTACCGCATGATTGAATACTTCGTGCTGTGCAGCATGTCTAATTCCCTGCCCTAGAGTATGTGATGTGACTATGACCATAAGCTGTCCTCACAGACATGCTTTTGCCCCCCCCCCTTTTCAACATTTTTGTCAGGTTTTTTAAATATTCTTCATAAATAAAACAAAAAAAAAAAGTTTTGATCAAAAAGACGTAAAGTAATTGGTCAGTCTCCCCCACCTTTTTTTAAGATTTCCAATTAAAATGTTATTATTGTTGTTAAAATGTTCCTACAGCAGGAATGTTGGATGTTTTTTACTCCCAGACTTGCATTGTACAACACAGAATGTTTCAATTTTTGGTGCAGAATAGCAACTGCATTTTTCTCTGTCTGGAACAGCAGAAATGGAATATTTTGAAAAAATAAAAATTGAGTAATTTAATTGATCTCAGATAGGATCCTGAATTATGTACTAAAAGAGTAACAATTTTTAAACAAATTGATTAAAACTGACCTTAGATAGTGTCACATTCTTGCCACTAGGTAGCGGGCATCTCTTCCTTTACTTTTGCTGTAATTAAGTTCCGAGAACCAGTCGAGATTGGAACCGCTCTGAGGAGCGTAAAGACGAAACCTCAGAACTAAAATGTACTGTCTTAAAATAATTATCACCTACCTTGTAAATAGTGTATATTAGCTTTTATTTCAATAAATAATTAAAAGACAAGATGGCTTGTTAGCAGTAATAGAAACTCTTACTGAAAACGTGATTATTAGAAGCCTGGCGTCGTGAACACTGAAGATGCAGCAGGTAAGGAATTTTACATTAATTTTATTGTAAATAGAAGAACCTGATGCAACATTTTTATGGCGCCCGAACAGGGACGCCAGGTTTTTTGAAAAATTATTCATATGATACGGAGATGATAGCTAAACTCTTGCGTAGCTTCTACGTAGATAACGAAGATAACTTGAAACAGGAAACTATTTCACCCGTATTGGGTCTGTTATGGAACTCTCAGAAAGATAATTTAACTTTGAATCTGAATTGGCTAGAAGATTTTGAAATAGGTATAATAACGAAGAGAACAATTCTCGCTGTAACACACAAAATATTTAATCCTACTGGTATTGTGAGTCCTGTTCTCTTGTATCCTAAAGTATTGTTGCAGAACCTATGGAAAACAGGAATTTCTTGGGATACTGAAGTCGACGAGAGTACAAAACAAAATTTTGTGAATTGGTATAAAAGCCTTTTTCTCTTAAAAGAAATATCCCTCCTACGTTGGATACATTCCAGCAAGGACAATAGGAAGTTCTGCAGCATTCACACATTCTGTGATGCCAGTAGTAATGCGTATGCTGCTGCAGGTTTCTTGAGAACTGTGACGAATTCTGGAGTTGAAGTTCATCTGTTGGCATCGAAGTCTAGAGTAGCTCCCGTAAAATCTATTACGATTCCCTTGTCGTCTGGAATTGATAGCTGCCACGATAGGTGCCAGACTATGCTCTTCTGTTTTAAATGGTTTACAATGGCAAAATGTGGAAACGCATTTTTGGACGGATTCTACAACAGTTTTGACATGGATTCAAAGGGAAGAGATTGTATGGGCTGTCTTTGTGGAAAACAGAGTCAGAGGGATTAGGAAACTCACAGATCCAAAAACGTGGAAACATATTGCTGGAACAAAAAATCCAGCTGACCTCCCATCAAGAGGTTGCACCTCTAAACAACTTTTAGTAGTTAGATGGTGGGAGGGCCCCGATTGGCTAAAGAAAAATCAGGAAGAATGGCCTAGACAAAGGGAAAATACCGGACATGGAAATAGTGAAATTCAGAAAAAAGGAAATCAGTCAATTTCTGCACTAAATACGCAAAGGGTAGAACATTTTTTTGAGAAATATTCATCTTACCATAAAATGTTAAGAATAACTGCTTGGATATGCAGATTTATCAACAACTGCAGAAGACCAGATTCTAAACAATCAGGAGACTCACGGTCCCTGAAATAGAAACCGTAGAAAAGAAAATATGCAAGATTGTGCAGATAGAAGCATTTGGCAAAGAACTTAAAGTTAGGAAACCTTTGTACCTTTTTTGACTCAGATGGCATTATTCGGTTAAAGACCAAGATTACTAGAAGAGAGGAAGAAAATTTTCTCTGTCCAATTGTATTGCCCTCAAATCATGACTTAGTTCATAGGTTAATTTTAGATTACCATTTGCGACTATCCCACGCTGGTGTGCAATTCGTACTAGCCAATATTCGACAGAAATTCTGGGTCCTGAGAGGAAGAGAAACAATACGTAAAGCTCTTATGAAGTGTGTTCGCTGTAGAAGATATAGCGCAAAGAATATAGAGACTGTTCCAGCACCTCTTCCTGAAGATCGAGTTAGAGATGCTCTGGTGTTTGAAGTGACCGGAGTCAATGTAGCCGGTCCTCTTTATTTAAGAAAAGGAAAAAGAGGCATTTTTTAAGGAAAGAAAAAAAAGTCATGGATCTTGCTCTTTACTTGCACAGTCTATCGCGCGATACATCTTGAGCTGATAGAAAGTTTATCAACAAATGCGGCTTCATCTTGGGATTAAGAAGATTTATTGCCAGAAGAGGTCGTCCAAGGTAATTATTTACAGCGACAATGGCACTAATTTCGTTGGAACTGAAAATCTGTTAAGATCGATAGATTGGAAAGAAATAGAATGTCATTCAAACTAGTATGAGAATACAGTGGAAGTTTAATCCCCCAACTGGGGGCTTCATGGTGGGGCGGTTGGTGGGAGAGGTTAATACAAACAGTGAAGAAGATGTTGAGAAATGTTCTCGGGAAGTCTTACGAAGCCTGTGTCCTCTTACGAAAGAAATGTTGACTATACTTTGTTGATGATGTCGAATCAGGTGATTAACTCAAGACCCATCACGTACCTTTCAGAAGATCCAAATGATCTTACAGGCACTAACTCCTTCAATGTTTCTGCAAGATGTGCACGACGTCGGAGTGCCAGACTTAGACTACCTGGATACCATCAATCTGACAAAAAGATACAAGTTCTTGCAGAACTTAAGAGAACACTTTCGCAAAAGATTTCGTGATGAATATTTAGCTATCCTAGTGCAAAAACCATCTAAACGATCTACTCGGACTATCAACAAAAATGACTTGGTGTTTGTCGGCAGCGACAACACAAGAAGAGAATAGATTGGCCAATAGGTCGTGTTGTAGAAACTATATCCTGGAAAGACAACGAAGTACGTGTTGTCAAAGTGAAAACTGCAACAGGTGAACTCCTAAGACCTGTGAAACGTATTTATCCTCTCGAACTTGATAGACCTAACTTGTTTAGTGACTTCACCATGAACAGAAAAAACTCTGCGGATAAGTGTGACAGTGATATGAACTATCAAACTAGATATGGATGTAAAACTGTAAAACCTGTTACATATTTTTAAATTGCTATACTAATTTTTGTTTCTTTTCAGTATTTTAGAAATTTAATTGTCCTAACAGTAGTCAATTGGAACATGTTATCTGGATATGGTATGAATGTAATGCAGAAAATGTTTAGATGTGTAATCCTTCTTTGTATGTATTAATTTTAGAGCATTAGTTACTTTTCATATTTGTGAAAGTTGTACTTGAATTTTTGTTTGATTATTGATAAATTTTGTTTTGATTTTCCATCTTATCGAGGTAAAATCAAAAGATGGGAGGATGTCACATTCTTGCCACTAGGTGGCGGGCATCTCTTCCTTTACTTTTGCTGTAATTAAGTTCCGAGAACCAGTCGAGATTGGAACCGCTCTGAGGAGCGTAAAGACTCAGAACTAAAAATCTACTGTCTTAAAATAATTATCACCTACCTTGTAAATAGTGTATATTAGCTTTTTATTTCAATAAATAATAAAAAGGCAAGATGGCTTGTTAGCAGTAATAGAAACTCTTACTGAAAACGTGATTATTAGAAGCCTGGCGTCGTGAACACTGAAGATGCAGCAGGTAAGGAATTTTACATTAATTTTATTGTAAATAGAAGAACCTGATGCAACAGATGCTGAATTACGTACTAAAAGAGTAACGATCTTTAACCCCTTAAGGACCAGCGTCGAGAGAATGAAGCGCAGTCTTGGTTTTAGCGCACACAACGCATCTTCTCCTACTTTTATTACCTTTACTGTCGACATAAATTTTCAGAAACTGTCTTCCAATAACACAGAAAGCGGGTGCATCCGGTGATTTTGAACAAATTTTGAAGTTTTTAAGCAAGATCTCTTAGCCATGGCTAACGGAATGAAACTGAATATAACCCCAACACATGCCTCAAAACATCTTCAAAAGACACTCAGAAATATTTCATTCTCAAACCCTGTGTGACATCAGGTTTATATTAGAAACCTTCTTGTTTTTCTAAATCGAAAACAGCGTCCACAATGACCGAAAAGTGATCAAGGAAAGACCCCCAATGGCGCGATATTCATTACTGATCACGTCAATCTATACATTATATGTAAAGTAAATACATTATATACCAAAATATAATGCCTATGTCATATATAACGACCTATTAAATCGAGTAAGAAAAACAAAATGACGCATTACGCGTCGAGAAAGCTGATAGTCTTTTTCCTTCTGTAATAATGTTGTAATGTTACTTTTTAATTAACCAAGAAAGCTCATGTTGAGTTTCAAAATAAATAGAAAAGAAAAAAATCCTAACAAAATAAACAAAAACGCCTGTGCCCCTTTAATTCACAGGCGCACTTATAAAGAGCCGCAATTTCCAGTTTCTTTATTTCAATAAATCTCTCAAAACCAGAAACACAAAACAGAAACTAATGCCAGTACATGAAGGTCAAATGCCGTATAAATCAACCTATGTGAAAAAATTACCACTTAGCTCCATTTACTAGCTTTTAAAAATTCAAATAAATCGTTCCGTTTTAGTGTCGCGTATACGCGACGCTGGGTTTGTAGGAGCAGAATCGTTGCGTCGCGTATACGAGAAGCTGGGCTGGACGCCTATTCTATGATCACTGGATCTGTCTACAACTTGAGCGAACAATATCGACTCAAAAGAACCGGTATGACAGCCATCACAACTTATCGGAGAAAGCCATTCTGTGGTCCTCAGTTGGAGGGGTGGGGTCCATTTACTTTACTGGAAGGGGACAAGCTTCAAGACTTTAGACCAATCGCAGTTACAGATCGAGTGACGAAATTTATAGCGCGGCTGGCTCAACACGCAGTAATATGCGCTGTGTTATGTGAAAGAAAATCTCGTTTTTAATGGAAGTAACGCAGGAATTTAGAGCTAAGAATAAAGAATGATATGGGATACCATGAAAGCAATACGTAAATGTAAGAGTAAATGAATTAAGCTTGCTTCAAATC